CATCAGCAGTCTCTGCATGGCGTCCACCAGGCCGTTGAGCGCGCGCAGCGGCGCCGCCAGAGCCCGACAAGGACACGGACGCCACCATCGCGCCGACGGCGGGGCCCATGAGAACGGGCCCGATGAACATGTCCTTGTTGAAGCGCACCAGCGCCAGCCCCGCGGCCGCGCGGGTGTCACCCACGCGGGGTCCCCGAGCCCGGCCTCCGTCGCTGGGAACACGCCGTGGCGGAGCAGCGCACCTTCGAGTCGCGTATCGAACCGCCCGCCCGCAGACAGTGCCGACCACGTGCGGGACTGCCCTTTGCACGCCGCACCGGCGTTACTGTGTGCACAGGGACAGCGAGCCGGAGTTAGCCGCCCTGGCGGGCGCCCTCGGAGGCCTCCGTCCGCCCAGTCGCTAACGTGCCGCGCGCCAACTGCCACGCTCCAGATCCAGGGCAGAGGCCACCGGATACATGCCCTAGTGCGCCCACCAGCTGCCTGCTGGCCGCCAGTATGGCTGCCGACCACCGCGCCCACTCGGCCCCCACGCGCCAGATCCGGGGCAGGGGGCACCGGATCCCGCCGGCCTTCGAAGCTCCGTGCAGCTTGAACTCCATGCCCGCCGCCAAGAGCACGGCGCCGCGCAGCACGCGTCCAACCGAGTGCGCCACGCCTCCGCTGGATCCGGGCCCAGAGAACCCGGAATGCGGAGCTTCGTGCTCGCCGCCGGCCTTCCAAGCTCCGCCACACCATCGCCGTCACCACCGGCGCTAGCGGCAGGGCCCACCTCGAAGGGAGCCAACCATCCAAGCTTCGCCACGCCATCGCTGCTGGATCCATGGATGCAGGCACCAGATCTGGCCTCGTAGGGCACGGGTACGCCACCACGCCGGTCCCCTTGTCTGCCTTGTTGAGCAGCACCGCAGGCCGCCGCCACCACTCGTCGGCAAGCAGTGGCGGCGTCCGAGGGGGCTCGCTGGTGGGGAGCCGAGTGCGGCGGCGGTGAGTGTCGCTCCTAAGGATGAAAACGGTACCGAAATATCCCGTACCGAACCGCATAGTTTTCTACATTTAATCCGATCGAATTCGTATTTTCAGATAAATTTGAATTCAGTTCGAAATTCGGAACACCAAATTCGAAATCGGAACGAAAACAGTTTAGACATTTTTTCGACCATTTTCTACTTTTCTACTTTTAATTCGGAATATCCCGAATTCGAAATTCGGTTTAAACCAAATTTGGCCCACTACAAGTCGAACCTTAGAAAAATTATATCTTTTTCATACGATCTCGGATGAAGATGATTTTTATATCAAAATTGTAGCTCTCGACGAGATCTACAACTTTGTAGTTCTTAGTTTTTTCATTTGATGTCTTGAAGATGTTCAAAAAAATTAAATAAAGTCAGCGATATATTAATCGTGTACAAGCGCTTGTTGCCTTAAAAAAATCATATCTTCCTTACATCGTGTGGAATGGAGATACTTTTTAAGAAAGTTGTAGAACTTGTTAGTTATTATCTACTTGTTAATTGCTATGCACTTGGTCCTGCGGGTCAATATTCTGTATTGATTTTTCGTACCGACCGTATTCGACATAATTCCGCTCGAATTAGTTCGTTTTCGAAATTTTTGATATTTCGTAAGTTCGTGTTCGTTTTCGTGTCCGGCTTTACCGCTTTCGTTTTCATTTTTGTATTCAAATGTAGAAATAGAAAACGATTGAGAGGTTTTCCGACCGTTTTCATCCCTAGTCGCTCCCGAGTTGCCTCGGGGAGACGACACGGGGGGAGCCTCGTCAGGAATTTTTTTTGTTCAAATTTCCTTCAAATGCTGGCTGCAGCAGAGCAAAAGGAAAACTTCCTTGCTGTATGAATGACAAAAACGAGCAAGAAATCAATGTTGAGCAAAAAGACAGCTGTTGACAAGAATTACCTTGAATGCAGCACAGCAAAAACAAAAAGAAAAGCTTGATCTATTAATAATGGCAAAACCGAGCAAGAGATCCGCCTCTTTTAAGTCGAGAGCAATGGTCAGCAAGAAGACAGCTGTTTTAAGTCGAGAGCAATGGACAGCTGCTGGAAGTAATATTTTGCACAAGATTGCCTTCAAATGCAGCACAGCAAAAAAACAAAGAAGAGCCTGTCAGACAAATGGGCCACCCCAGCCAGGTGAACCTTGCAAGGAACGATCCTCTACTAGCATCAGGGCTAATCCTAACCGTTAATCAGGCTCTAGCCCATAGGTCATGACTCATCAACCAGACTTAAGTGCTTGCCTCCTTATTAGTCAAGGACAAGTTTTAACAGTTTTTGAGTTGAGCAGGGACTGAAGTCAGATAATCTCTATCATCTGGACTATCTTGAATGTAAAAATGGAAGCATGGAAGCAGCAATAGCTATGCAGGTTGCTCAGTACTTGGAATGAAATGTATCCAAAAGTGTATACTGAAGAGTTGGGAAGCCAAAAAACAAAAAGGCCTGTCAGACAACCCATGAGCCCATCCTAGCCAAGCTTGCGCCTGGCTGGAAACGATCCTCTACAGCACTGGATTAAAGATAATCCTGGCCATTAATCACGCTCTGGCCCACAGGTCATGACTCATCAACCAGGCTTAAGTACTTGCCTCCTTATTAATCAAGGATGCAGCGGTACGATCCTATAGAACAGATCCTGTTCAAGTAAGGTCGTGCTGCAAGGCTTCATAACTGCACTTTTAAGCTAGCTTCCGCGCATTTGAGTAGCCGAGGTGGTACTAATGGATGGAAGTGGACAGCATATTGGTCACTGGGCCGCTGGTTGTATGTGTGGGCTTTCAGAGTTCAGATCAAGCCCATCGAGGCTGCATGAGCTTTACCTCTGTTGATGGCTTGATACCACCTCACCTGAGAAAAAAAAAGGTAAGATAAGATAGGCTCAACTCATTCCTAGACGGTTGTAGTTCACCCTTCACAGAGCTCAATCTTTCATCCTCCATGTCCCTAAGTGCTAGATCGGAGTAGTACCATGTCTTTTAGGCCAAACAAGCCAAAAATATTACTGCTAACAATCACAATCAGACAATCAGTGTAAATTTACAGTACGAAGTATGAACAGCTGTCATAAGCAGCAATGGGCAATGCAGATCGAGTGCGTGGTCTCTCATCTAAAGTCAACTGTCTCGTACACCGTGGGCCTGGAGAGATCGGCCTCCAGGAGCGTAGCCAAGGCTCCATTGCTGACGACCATCGGCACCGTGGGCTCGGCAAGCTCCGAGCAGGAGCTGCCTAGCATCTCGACAACCGCGGACATGGCGGGCCTCTCGTCAGGCTTTTCCTGGACGCAGAGGAGCCCGACCTGAATGCACCTGCGCAGTTGGGCAAGCTCGGGCTTGGCAGTGGCAGGCGCCGGTGCAACCGCCGGATCGAGGAGCCGAGGAGGGCCGTGACGCTGCGGTCGACCCACGGTGTCCAGGCCTAAATGAATGGTTTTATCAGATATCCTATTTAGCTATTTATTTATCTGTTCATCCAATCCAGAAGATGCTCAAGGTTCCATGCATGAGGCCTGAAACCCTGATCCTATGCGCTAAGAAAACTGAATTTTCATGCATACCGCCACTGAAGAGCCAATCTTCACCAACTACACAAGTCAATGACGTAAAAGCCTGGGTCCCACGTGTCATTGGCGCAGGCTAATGGAAAAGTGTAGGTGGAGTGGTGGTACCGTACAGAGCCACAGTTGAAGAATTCGCAATAAAAGGCTCTGTTCGCTTGAACTACTTTTCAGCCATAGCACAATATTTTCCTCTCACAACATTTCGGCATAAGCATCAGCATAACTCAAATTTCAGCATAAGCGAACAGAGCCAAAAATGTCAGCTGGTCTTTCAGGAAATTTCCTTTCCAGTACCGTGTTGCTTGGCACAGCAATTCAGAAAATATGTAATAGCGGGATCGAGACAGCGCGGACCGACCTAGACGAAAGCAGTGCAGTTGAAGACCAGGCCAGAAGAATGGCGCGATGGCAATAGCATCCAGTCCAATCAGTTGAAGTCTCCATCCGTCTGTCCAGAACAACAACGTCAGAGGAAAACTGCTGCAGAAAACGAAGACTGGGCCGTGGAGGGAGATGAGATGAGATGAAGGCTAGTTTGCCAAGAAAACGTAGAAAATGAGGAGATAAGCCAAAATCTGAACTAAGCCTAGTGAAACTCATCGAGGAAGTCTGTTCTGTTGACTATTTGTCAGTTGTCACCAAGAAATCTGGAATTGGAAGAGGAAGAAATCGAGTGAACGCACAATGATAAGAAAATGGAAGGATAAGCTTTAACAGTTTTTGAGTTGAGCAGGGACTGAAGTCAGATAATCTCTATCATCTGGACTATCTTGAATGTAAAAATGGAAGCATGGAAGGACGATCTTGAGTGTAAATTCGAATCATCGAAGCAGCAATAGCTATGCATACTTGTAATGAAATGTATCCAAAAGTGTATACTGAAGAGTTGGGAAGGCCAAAAAACAAAAAGGCCTGTCAGACAACCCATGAGCCCATCCAGCCAAGGTTGCACCTGGCTGGAAACGATCCTCTACAGCACTGCATTAAAGCTAATCCTGGCCGTTAATCACGCTCTAGGCCAAAGGGTCATGACTCATCAACCAGGCTTAAGTGCTTGCCTTCTTATTAGTAAAGGATGCAGCGGTACGATCCTATAGAACAGATCCTGTTCAAGTAAGGTCGTGATGCATGGCTCCTGAGCTGAACTTTTAACCTGGCGTCCATCAGCTTGGGCAGCCGAGGTGGCACTATTAGCTGCGGATGGCAAGCACTGAAAAGCATGTTATGTACAGGGCCGGCCCATTCTGCAATCTGCTACACGACCTATGTCTATGTGGGCTTCATGGACCAATGTCCACGTGACGACATTCAGCACTAACAACACATACGTCAGCGTACAAGTATAATAATATACTAGCACGTACTGTAATCTGCAAGAGTGCAAATAATGAAATAATACTAGCAGCAGCATATGCCCCTTATGTTCGAGTCTGGCCCATTGTCTCGTACACTGTCGGCCTCGAGAGGTCTGCTGCATCTGCATCTGACTCCAGAATCATAGCCAGAATCCTACTGCCGACCATGGGCACCCTGGGCTCAACAAGCTGCTGCTGCGCGCTGGTACTGCTGCTCAGCATCTCCACAACCTCGGACATGGATGGCCGATCGCCCGGCTTTTCCTGGACGCAAAGGAGCCCGACATGGATGCACCTGCCTAGCTGACGAAGCTCGGGCTTGGCAGGCGCCGGTGCAACCTCGGAGTCAAGGAGCGCCGTAATGCTGCGTTCGGCCCACAGCCTCCAGGCCTGCATTTTTCTTCAGATCAGCTCCCAGATAGCACAACTTATTTGCAGAGAAAATGAGTAGAGTGAAAGGCTACCAGCAGAAGTTCAGTCTGCTTACTTCTGAAACGAGGCTTTGCCTCTCCCAGTTCCTCCGGCCAGCCAACGTCTCCAGCAACGTGACGCCGAAGCTGTAGACGTCGCAATTCAGCGTCGTCTCGCCACCTTCGCTCTGAACATACTCCGGAGCCATGTAGCCACTTCGTAAGACCGACATAGGAGTGTTCATGAAGACAGCGTGAGTTTACAGAGACAGTAAGAAAGTAAGGAGAATCATCAGTGACATTGTTACTGCTTACGGTGTGCCGATTATCGTCCGAGTCCCTGTAGCTCCAGCAGCAGGGAGCTGCAGCTGTTTGGCCGTCCCGAAGTCGGCCACCTGGCTTGCCATCCGCCATCCAGCAGCACATTGGCCGGCTTCAGATCCCGGTGGATCACGTTGCCGGCCGACCCCTCTCCCTCGTGCAGGTGCTTCACGCCCTCGGCAATCCCCTGGATTATTTGCAGCCTCCTTTGCCAATTCAGCAACGCGCGATCCGTTGGTTTCCCTGACGATTGAAACAAGAAGCAGTATATACTCATGTCAACAGAACAGGCTGGGGGGCAGTGTTCAGAAATCAGAAGGCGAAATGTATCTGGCCGGACTCAGTAGGTTTGTACCGAATATGTATGCATCCAAGCTCCTCCTGTGCATGTAGTCGTACACCAGAATTCGTTCGCCGCCTTCCTCGCAGTAGGCAAGAAGCCGGACCACATTTTGGTGCTGCTGCAGCCCGGACATCACCTGTTTTTCTCTTGTGAAATAGCTCACGATTGCCTCCGGAAGATCACTGATCGGTTTCAGTCTCTTCACGGCAATTGCTCTCCCGGATAGTCCGTGGAGGAGCGGATGTCCTCTGGGTAGCTTGCCCTGCAGGGGAATGGATTTTCACACACCAGAGTTATACTCTCTTTTTCTTTTTTCTTTTTTTAAAAGAGAACCTATGGTGGGGAGAGCTTCCCCAGTCCCCACCTGGCTTATATTACCACTGTTCAGTTCAGTGATTAGCAATTAAAATCCATTGTCTCAAAAATTTTCATTTTCCTAGCAACCGAAGTTCTAGCACAAGAACCATCCTGATATTTTGTCTAAAAAAATAATTAACTCGAAATTTTAACATGTCTGGTTTGGACAGTAGGAAAATTGTCTAGCGGCTTGGAGATAGAAGGTGTTGCTCTGGCCCAAATAAGCTGGCCAACCAACCAAACATGCCTAAAAAGTGTGTAGCTAAAGTACACCCAACATAGCCGGGCTCAAATTGCACCAAAAAAACTGTTATTATAGGCTATTGTTACAGTGATTAGCAGAGATAGGAAAAGCTGCGTGCAGCTGGAGCAGCTACTCCTCCTTTAGCTGCAACGAAAACCCTCGTAATATTTTGACAGCAAAATCTGAATCTGTGGATCACCACTGACTAACAGAGAATCAGAGACAACAAACTACAAGCCTAGTTTTAGAATCTGTCAGTCATGACCAATTTTCATCGTATCACATATATAATTTATCTAAATCTATCCTAAGTCAATTTTCTTTAACATTGACTAGAATATCCATAAAAATACATATTGTCTTATATGAAAAGAGTTATATGTTATGAAATAATTTTTACAACAAACCTAGCAATGTCAATATTATTGTATTATTTTGCTATGGGACACTCCACTTATGTGAAATTGGCCGTGGGACGCTGGAATATTTTTTTTTTCTTTGTTGTGGGATATTAAAGGGGTGTTTGGCGGGGCTCCTCCAGGAGGGTTCCTCCGGAGGAGCTTTGTGGCTCGTCCAAAATGTCTCTACTGCGCTCTTTTGTTTTTCTCTCAAAATGGCTCCTTCGACGAAACGTTTGGCGGGACTCTCAGAGGAGCCGGAGCCGGAGACAGAAGGAGCCCTGCCAAACTAAGTTTTAATTTCTTTGTTTGTGTAGGACATCTCCCGGTGTACCTACAAAAAAAAAAAAAGTACAGTGTCCTCTGGGCAATTTCACGAAAGAGTAGTGTCCTGTACCAAATTTCGCCAAAATTTTATATATTAATGATCAAAGTTTTTAAAAAAGGTGACTTCGAACAAAAATAAGATTTTATTTGTGACCGTAAAGAAGTAGTAATAAACTTTTTCATCTGTTGTGACCTCATATACGATGCCAAAAGTACCTTCACCGACCACATTCCGCCTGGAGAAATTTCTTGTTGCGCTCTTGACGATGGCCAGAGCAATGGGAGCAACAGGGGGACTATGGGCGGTTTGTACCGCCTCTGCAATTTGTATTATCAAGTTCGGACCTAATTAATCATTTTTTTGTGTCAGATACAATCTTGCAACAATTTCTCCCAAATTCGTTCTTAGTAAATATTTAGATAAAAATGTAAGGAGAAAGGAACAATGATAGTATGGACGTCATACGTCTTATACGAGCCGCCCTCACAGCAAAGAAAACCAAGGAGAGGAGAGCGATGGCGCCCAGTATTGATCCAGCTGCTAGAAGGACCGCCATGTGTTTCTTCTTATCCCATTTTCGTGGTCCTGATTCAAATGGTAGAATATATATATTTTTAACCTCTAAGTTACACGTAAATTCGATTTTCAATTTTAAACTATGAAAAAGGGTAACGGACATCCTCCAACTGTCAAAACCTAGTCCTTTGACAGGTTATAAAAGTGGTTTTTATTTTCTAGATAGAAATAATAAAAACTTGGTTTGATCTTTAAAGGTTTATAATTGATTTATTTTAAATCAGAAAAATATGAGTTTCAGATTTCTTCTAAAAGTTTTGGTACCTTTGGAACCAAACTAAAGTCTTATTAGTTTTGTTGTGTGAAAAATCTCCAAATTACTAGTACAGCAGTTGAGGTGTACTCATACCAGATACAGGCCTAGCCTGGCGTAGGTAGAGGGTCTGGCCTCCATCTACGTACCGTAGGTCAATGAGGTTTCGTGCCCACATGAGGCATCCTGTGCCGTCGCCTCCTCCTCGTATGTCCGCCGCGGCATACGCCACGCAGGAGCAGTTGGCAAGGCACCTCGCCCTGCACTGATCCAACGTGACGCTCGTGTCCAGCGACCGCGAGTCGACCATGTCCGGCAGCTTCACTCCCGGCAAAACGGCGAACCAGTCGGTGCTGCCGGTGGACCTCCTGCCACCGTCACCATCGCCATCGCCGCCGCAGTCCAGCGGCACGTTCTGCCGGCACCCGTCTGGGACACGGGGCTGAACCCCACGGCGCGACATCGCCGCCGCGCTGGCGTTCCACACGCCGGACGGTCTGCACATGTCGTACTTGTCGCAGATGTCCCGGGGCCCCTGGAAGAAGTTGTTCCACGCGCCGGCTGCCAGGGTCCCACCCGAGGCGCTCCACCATGCCGGAGTCGTTGAGGACGAGGCGGGACAGCAGCGTTCCGGGCCTGGCGGCGTACCCGTATCTGATCTCGCCGGGGCTCACCATCATCTGGTACGCGAACTCGTCGGCGTAGGACGCCATCTCCGGGATGCCGCTGAACCATAGCCCGTTCCACACTCCCGTGAGGAACCTGGTGGCGCCGCTCGAGTCCACCATCGCAATCTCCGGCGGCCCGCCCCTCGTGACGACCACGTACCGTAAGGTTCCTGTGAGAGGTCCTAATGGCTAGAGGGGGTGAATAGACTATTAAAAATTTCTACAACAATATTTAACAAATCGGTTAGACAATTATGATAGCAAATTTAAGTAAAGCTCTCTACTAGCAACACATTGGATATGCTCATGTCATTGGATATTGCAATCTTACCAAGCTCATTGATCTTGCCTTTGCCATTGTCACCAAATATAATACTATCATAACTATCATTCCCATTGGTGTTGATTAAGTTGAACATTCTTATATTACCGGTCATGTGTTGAGTGCACCCACTATCAAGAACCCAATGTCTCCCTCCGACTTTGTAATTAACCTACAAAAGAAGATCAATTCTTTTTAGGTACCAAAACTTACTTGGTTCTTGAAGGTTAGTCACTAAACTCTTTGTTCCCAAATGTCTTTCTTCTTTGAGCCCATCCATGATTTACCAATGAACTTAACATTTATACCATTTGCACCCTTTGTAAGTACATAGAAAGAATCAAGCTTAATGGATGATACATTAGCTTGTGACTTTTTGTTCATGCACTTTTGCTCTACATGACCAACTTGCTTGCAACTAGTGTAAAATCGATCATTGTTCTTCACAAAACTAGTCTTGTGAGTAGCAAAGGGCGCCTTGTCTTTCTTGGGAGTATAGCCCAAATCCTCTTTGTAGAGAGAAGCACTTTGGCTACCCAAGCACATAAGCAAGCGGTCCTCCCCACCATAGGCCTTGACCAAAGTGTGAATGAGCTTATTGGCCTCCTTCTTGAGGTTCCCATTCTCAACCATTAGTAAGGCATCACAAGTGAAACCGTCACTACTAAATGAGGTGGAAGTAGAAGTACTAGAAGAAAAGTTAGCGGGAGCAACAATGATAGACATATATAATGATTCATCAATTATATCACAAGTTAAGCCTATATTACAAGTTTCAACATGCTTCTTTTTATTTTGCTCATCAAGCAAAGAGGAATGAGCCTTTTTCAAGCTTTTTGTGAGTCTTGCCAAGCTTCTCATGGGCTTCCTCTAGCCTCTCATGAGATGCATTAAGCTCATCAAAGGCTTGCTTAAGGGCTTTTAGTTCCTTACGCAAGCTTTTGTATTCTCTTCTCTTAATACCAAAGTGTTCTTTAGCATCTTCTATCATGTCAAATAGTTCATTCTTAGTAGGTTCATCATCATCACTATCACTATTATTTTCATTTTTATTATCATGTTCTTCATCACTTTCATCATCACACATTTGTACCTTAGTGGCCTTAGCCATGAAGCATGATGGAGTATCGAAGAGAGAAGGCTTCTCATTGACAACAATGCTTGCAAGTGCCTTCTTCTTAGTGGTCTTGTCATCATCACTTGAGGAAGCATCACTATCCCAAGTGATCACATATGACCCACTCTTCTTCTTCTTGAAGGTCATCTTGTTCTTCTTCTCTTTCTTTTCCTTCGTGTCATTCTTCTTGTTCTTCTTGTCATCATCTTTGTCACTATTGTATGGACATTGAGCAACAAGATGATCTTTGCTTCCACAATTGAAGCACCTTCTTGACTCTTCCTTGTTCTTGGATGAAGATTTCTTTCTTCTAGCACGGTAGCCTTTCTTCATCACGAACTTCCTAAATCTCTTGACAAAGAGAGCCATCTTCTCATCATCATCATCATCCCATGAGCCATTATCTTCACTTGATGTATCTTGCTTTGCCTTGCCCTTAGATGATGTGTCCTTGAATGCCACGCTCTTCTTCTTCTCATCCTTCTTCTCATCTTTCTTCTCCTTCTTTTCTTCCTTCTCATCGTCATCTCTATATGTATCATCGGTCATTATATCTCCCAACACTTGGTTTGGTGTCATGGTGTCCAAACCACTCCTTACTAGAATAGTGACCAATGTGCCAAATCTTGAAGACAAGCATCTCAAGAATTTGTGGGAGAAGTTCTTGTCCTTCACCTCTTCTCCAAGTGCTTTGAGATCATTGACAAGCACCCTATGGAACATCTCCGGCACACTCTCATCCTCCTTCATCTTGAAGCTTGCAAACTTCTCTTTGAGAATGTACGCCTTTACACTCTTCATGGCTTGAGTGTCCTCAAATGATTTCTCTAATTTCTTCCATGCCTCATGAGCTCTCTCAATATTCTTGATTTGCTCAAATGTTCTCTCATCCAAAGCATTATAGATGGCACTAAAAGCAATGTCATTATTTTGGAGTAGCATCTCTTCGGTGGCGGTGGGAGCCTCTTCATCCTCAATCTCAATTTTGGTCTCCACCATCTTTCAAACCTTCCTATTGATTGACTTGATATAAGTTGTCATCTTAGCCTTCCAATAAGGATAGTTGGAGCCATCAAATGGGGGTGGCTTTTTGGTATTGTTGATTTGAGCCATTTTTACACTGAAGGTTGTTAAGCCTCAAATCACGGTGACCTCGGCTCTGATACTACTTGAAAGGTCCTAATGGCTAGAGGAGGAGTGAATAGCCTATTAAAAATTTCTACAACAACACTTAACAAATCGGTTAGACAATTATGAGGCGAAGCAAGTGTTGCGCTAGCCTACTAAAATTACAAGCCACCTACCACAATTCTAGTTTATATGGTTTCTATCAACACAATAGCTATGTCACTACACTAAGTTAGTGCACCCTCAAAAGCTAACTAAAGAGCCACACTAACCAAACTAGCAAGTCCTCATAACTAGCTACACTAAAGAGCTTCACAACTAGTTTGTGGTATTGTAAAGAGAGAGAGAGCAAGATAGTTATACCACCGTGTCGAGGAGTGAACCAATCAATCACAAGGATGAATACCAATGAAGACCAATCATCTCAGAATCAAATGATGACACAATGATTTTTTACCGAGGTTCACTTGCTTGTCAGCAAGCTAGTCCTCGTTGTGGCGATTCACTCACTTAGAGGTTCACGCGCTAATTGGCATCACACGCCAAACCCTTAATAGGATGCCGCACAACCAACAAAAGATAAGGATCACACAAGCCACGAGGAATTCACTAGAGTACCTTTTGGCTCTCCACCGGGGAAAGGTCAAGAACCCCTCACAATCACCACGATCAGAGCCAAAGACAATCACCAACCTCCACTCGACGATCCTCGCTGCTTCAAGCCGTCTAGGTGGCGGCAACCACCAAGAGTAACAAGCGAATCCTGCAGCGAAACACGAACACCAAGTGCCTCTAGATGCAAACACTAAAGCAATACACTTGGATTCTCTCCCAATCTCACAAAGATGTTGAATCTATGATGGAGTTGAGTGGGAGGGCTTTGGCTAAGCTCACAAGGTTGCTATGTCAATGCAAATCGCCAAGAGAGTGAGCTAGAGCTGGTTATGGGGCTTAAATAGAAGCCCCCACGAAATAGATCCATTGTACCCCTTCACTGGACACAACTCGGGGTGACCGGACGCTCCGGTCAGATCGACCGGACGTAGGACCCCAGCGTCCAGTCGCCCGATGCTTGCCACGTGTCATTGGCTTCAAATGCTGATCGCCCGATCTCAACGGTTATCAGTACATTTAAGTAGTGACCGGACGCGTTGCTCAAAGTGACTGGACGCACCAACACCAGCGCCCCGTCGTTTCCAGTAAGGTACCAGAAGCAAAAAATCACGACCGGACGCGTCCAGTCATGCTCGACCGGACACACCCAGCGTCCGGTCACTCAACGTCTCCCCTGTGCACTGCATATGTCATCATACGTCATATTGACCGGACTCAGACCCTGAGCGTCCGGTTATTTCTTGCGCTAGCGTCCGGTCATTAGACCGAAACCGCACGCTCACTGCTACCACTAACCGAACACGCCGGTCCTAATGAGACAAGCGTCTGGTCACTTACAGTGACCTCTATCTTTTCTGTATAGGGCGCCGGTGGCATCGTTGGACTGTCCGCACTCTACGGGCGAACACTTCACCGGTGAAGTTCCTAACCATTGCTCAAATGTGCCAACCACCAAGTGCATCACCTTGTGCACACGTGTTAGCATATTTTCACAAACATTTTCAAGGGTGTTAGCACTCCACTAGATCCTAAATGCATATGCAATGAGTTAGAGCATCTAGTGGCACTTTGATAACCGTATTTCGATATGAGTTTCACCCCTCTTAATAGTACGGCTATCGATCGTAAATGTGATCACACTCACTAAGTGTCTTGATCATCGAAACAAAATGACTCCTACCATTTATACCTTTGCCTTGAGCCTTTTGTTTTTCTCTTTCTTCTTTTTAAGTCCAAGTACTTGATCATCGCCATGGCATCACCATCATCATGTCATAATCTTCATTTGCTTCACCACTTGGTATGTGCTACCTATCTCATGATCACTTTGATAAACTAGGTTAGCACTTAGAGTTTTATCAATTTACCAAAACTAAACTAGAGCTTTCAATCTCCCCCTTTTTGGTAATTGATGACAACCCTTCCACAAAGATATGAATTAAAATTCATTTGAATCCATGTTGCTTGCACAAGCATTTTTACCATGTGTAAAAGGATATGGACAAGTTTCATGAATCCCATATGATAGCAATTGCCCCCCTACATATGTGCTAAGAGTTTGGATTGTAGCTTGCACATATGCTTAGATAGGAAATATAGGAGACAATGTCTACCAAATGATGCTAAGGTATAAAAGATGGACTTTTGAAGCGTGATACCAATCGGAGTGCACCAATATACCATCCTTAGCACCATGGTTAGCTCGATACCACTTGGAAATGAAATTACTAGATAACCTATGCATGCTAGTTTTTCATTTTATCATTCAAACCTACAACTAGCATACACCGAACAAGCATGGATATTGAAATTTAAAACTTGTGCCATGCAAGCAAACATATGAATATGCACATTCAAATGCACCATATAAGTTCATGAGCTTGCTCTCCCTACTTGTATGCTCAAAATTTTAATTGATCCATTTCTTTGTCATATCTC